CTTGGAAATTGGAATGTGGCAGATGTGCCAAGTAGGATGAGGTCATGAGGTCATAAGCCGGTGACTGGTGGCCCTGTGGCAGGGGACACTTGGACACAGACGCACACTTGGTTGCCGTGGGAAGTTGAGGACGACGGAGACCTGGATGACGCCTCCTCGGACCGAGGGACCCCAGAGATGCCCAGTCGACCACCGTGCCAGGCAGGCGGGGGGACGGACCCTCCCTCTTCACCTCTGACAGCCACCCACTGGGGATCCTGGCTGAGCGCTGCAGGTTGGAGGGGGGACGTCTGCTGGGATCGAACTGGGGGCTCAGGAGCCACACGGCCTGCCCTGGTCACGGGGTTACACAGCGGGCCCACAGCACACCTGCCGATGGAACTGGAGGAAACCCAATAGTGCCTGTCCTCTGAGGACAGTTCCCTGCCAGTCCCCCGCGTCCCACAGCTCGGCTCTGACTATAAGCACCCAGACTTCGTGCAGACCCCACAGGGAAAGTAGCGTGTCCAAACAAAAGTGTGTCCACATCAGACACCAGCAGAAAGTGGGGTCCCCAGCCCATCCCCCCCTCTGTCTGACTTGGCTATGAATATGAGCGTCTCATAACCTCCCTGGAGGCTTGGTGATTTGTGACAATGACTCGCAGAACCCCGGAGAGCGCTGTATGTAAGGTTATGGTTTTATCATAGAGGGCACAACTCAGGAAAAGCCAAACGGAAGAGAAGGGGAGGGTGAGTTCTGGAAGGGTCTCGAGCACTCCGGCCTCTGTCCACATAGAGTTGGGTGCCCCTCCCTCCTGGGGCATCGGGCAGCCCCCCAGCCCCACTGTTGGAGTTTCTATCAGTGCCAGGACGTAGGCAGGAAGGACTGAATGACCGGCCCTGTGACCAACTCCAGCTCAGCGTCCCCTCCCTTCCTGCGGGCTTCAGCCCTCTGAGCTGTGGTGGTTTTCTGGTGGGCCAGGTGCTCCCCGGAAACTCAGGGCCCACCCCGAGCTCAGGAAATTCACACGGAAGCAGGGACAGAGGCCAGAGAGTCTTTGTTATGCCACGGCCCACCCTTGCCAGCACACCGTCTGGCTAGCCGGCCCTCACGGTGGCAGAGTGTGACCCCGAGCGGTCTCTGGTTACAGGCAATGGTGGTACAGCAGAAATGCAGGGGGCCGGACGGGAGGGCAGGGAGGACAGAGAGGTGGTCTAAGCAAACCCCCCTTGAGGAGGGCGCCGCAGGCCGGCCATCGACGGGGACCCCTGGTGGTGGTCGCGGCACGTGCAGATCCGGTCCTGCAGGAGGCTGGCCAGGGCTGCCAGGACACCTCTGCCTCCGGCCCTGAGGTCGCCCTGCCTGTCACCAGCCTAGGGGAGGGTGGTGTCTCCTGCCAAGTGGAGCTGGGGAGCCAGAGGCCACTGCTTTTGGCTGTTCCTGCTGAACGATTGAAGAGCAAGTTGGAGGGAGATGCAGGAGGCCTGCTTAGCGATTTCTAGGAACGGCGACGTTGGGAGGCAGAGCTAGTGAGTCGGTGGTGGAATCAAGACTGTGACTATTTCAGCAGGACATGAGCAGCCCATCTGCACCCCAGGACGGCGGTCCTGGAGGCATTTCAAGATCGTCTCATCCAAACCACATGTTTCACCAAAACCAGGTCCACACAGCTTCCATTGTTTGCCCAAGATTTCGCAGCACGCTGTCCCCGGGGGGGCTCAGCCGCACACTGAGGGCCACATAGCCACGCGTGGTTTCTTCTCTGGAACCAGGTGCCCGCTCACCCCAGGGTTTCTTCACACAAGGTGGAATCACTCGTCATTGCTTGAGTCAGCCCTTATCTCTTCCCCTCTTGTGCTCTGCCTTGGAGCAGTGGTTACAGAGAACGGCTTCCATTTCTGTGCAGACTCTCAGCTGATGGTGTTCAGAGGAGAGGAGGAGGGGGGAGGAGGGAGAAGGGAAGGGAAGAGGCGGAGAGGGAAGGAGTGGGGAGGAGGCCAGGATGACGGGTGGGGGGGAGGGGAAGAGGGAGGGAGCAGGGAGGGATGGAGGGAAGGAGGGGGAGGAGGGACGCCCCAGAAGCCCTGAGAAACACACCCCCTCGTAAGCACCTGTTGTGAGAACCATGCGGTGCTGGAAACCTCTCCGCCTCTCTCCCCTCCTCTCCATGGGAAGATTCAGGAGGTGGGAAGGGGCATGTCTGCATGTCTACGAGGTGACCTGTGGGGGCTGGTGGATGTGCCAAGTCCCGCGCCCGAGTTCCCTCTGCCTCTAGATAAACTAATTAGCATTTGTTGCCCGAAAATGGAAACGAGCTGCCGGATGCGTCCAGAATCCAGTCGCACTGAGTGTGAATCTAGTGACTTTTCCCAGGTCACCTGCTGCCCTGTGTGCATGGGCAAAATGAGAAAATCCCGTGCTCGACCTCGCACCCCATGCGCACCTGCCCACGTGCCATCTGCGGTTCGGCGGGACGAGCTCAGCAGCGGTCACAGGGCTGAGGCGAGGGGCCGAGTGTCCTGGCAGCCCCTCCGTGCCAGGTGGGGAGCAGCCACCATAACGTCTCCCGAGGATGGGACAGGGGAGCCAGGGAACATGCTGTCCCCAGGATAAAGGGAACCCAGCACCGTGGCCCAGACTTCGGAATCCCTGCTCTGGGGGAAAGGCTAGACATGACCAAGCCCTTTTCAACTTACCCATTTGGCCCCAGAGATCTCCCCAAGCAGGTGCCAGCCTGCCGAGGCATCGAACTATTTCCAGGTGAGAGGCCATCCCCCCACCGAGCCGGCGAGGTGGGTGGGTACTGCGACCATGCCCTTGAGGACACGGCCTCTCCTCCTTGGTACTTGGGGATGGAGCTAGCTTTATTCCAAGTATTAGAATGTGCTTTTTGTTAAAAGTACCAAACTCATTCAGCCATGAGAATATTAAAAGTATATTTAGCAAGTTTGCATTTACTTCTGACCAATTCTAATTGAACCGCCGTTCTGGAAGGCGTCCAGCAGCTCTTAGCAAGATGCCGTGTGGAACGAGCTCTAATACGTGATCATCGCTGAGCTCGGAGCGCCTATGAATCTTATTTCAAGTCCCAACAATACGGGTCTTATTTCCACACTTCTATTTTTACCTAATGAAAATTTATTACAAAGAAATCCTAATTACACCCTCTGGAAAAGGACACAGTTGCAAACCCACTGGTGATTTTCTTTTTTTGAAAATCTGCATAATCCTGTAGGAAGCCAAGAATGTGCGTTCTCCTGAAATAGTTGGTCTGTAAATAAGATTCCCGACGTTTCTGTTGTTTTTTCTCTGCACATTTTGCACTGGGGGGTTCGTCCACACTCCACCCCTGGTGGGTGCTCGAGGACGTTGCATGTCTCAGCACACCCTGAAGTTGCCAACGGGCGGATTCCCATGGGGTCCTGGATGGACAGTGATGGCGAGAGCGGGCATCAAGAGGCAGGGAACAGCGTGGTCAAGGGACAGTATGACCTGGGACGGGCCTTGACCTTGAACGGTCTGCCTCCTCCGCCCCCAACGCACGGATTGCAAGGACTGGCTGGATAATCGCGGGCATCTGTGCGGGGCATCACAGGGCATTCAGTCGCATCTCTGGTCTCTGTCTCTCCACGTCCCGGTAGCCACCAGACGTCCCCCGGGATTACAGTCACCCCAGAGGAGGGCACTGTTCTGTCCCTAGGTCAGGAAGTCTGATGTGTGTGGCCTGAGTGCCTCCCGCCCACTGATTCCCGGGGTAAAGATTTGCAGAGAAGTGGGGACGTGCCATCCCCTTTGATGCATGTCCTCTACTCTTTCTATACCCCAAGAGCATGGGGCACTGGCGGGCGTGCAGGGGCCACACGTCCCGGTGCCTGGCAGGGGGTCTCAGCAGCCTCCCCTGACCACAGTCCTGTCGGAGAGGGAACGGTCTCTAAAACTGTCAGTCTAGGGACAGACTAGATTTGTCCCCCCTCGTTGCTGGGGTCACTGGCCGTGGGACCCGGTTATGGGGACATGCGGGGCAAGGCTGGGCAGGGAGGAGACCCTGCAGAGGGGTCCATGGGGTCAGAGCAAAGGCTCACCAGACCAGTGTAGGTAGACTCTGCGGCTCAGGCTGAGCACAGGCCGTGACAAGGGGACTGGAGCTGCGGCGGGACCAGCTGCTCCCATGCGGGCCAGGTCAGGAGGAGGAGGGCATTATGGGAGTACCTGTGTCTGCAGGGTCTGGGTGTCCCCCAGCAGTAGACGGTGAGATGTTTTGGGAGGAGGTCCCCAGTGCCGCAGGGATAAGGTGCAGAACAGAGAGAGAGCTACGGGAGGGGCAGCAGAGAACAGAAGGCAGGACGCAGAGCTGGTGCTTAGTAAGGCCGCGCTCCTTCCTTCCCCGCCAGCTGTCACCTGCTGCCCCTAGGCCCCGGCTCCTGCCTGCTCTCTGTGCTGCCCCGCTGTGTCTGGGCCGTGGTCACGGCCGCCCCTGGGCCTAGGGAGGAACAGTCCAGGGGTCCTGCTTTGCACCTTTCCCTGTGCAGACGGCCTGTGCGGGGTCCTGGTCCCCGCTGCTGTCGCTGACTCCCCTGGCTGGGTTCTACTCCAGGATAGCGTTTTGTACCCAGAGAGTCGATGGCATAGTCTGTGATTGTCTTTCTGCGTTTGTCCAAAACGAAGGCCTCCCTGAAACAAAGAACAGCGGGAACAGAGCTGGACGTGAGCTCCAGTGGTTTGCTCTGACGGAGAGCCTCACCCCTTCCTGTCCTGGACGCCAGGTCCAGGCAGTGAAACGCGACTCCAGGCTGTCTTCCTCGTGGCCCCGCTCGGCCCCCGCATGCCCCTGCCATGACCTTGGCTCCCTGCTGGTGCCTGTGGGGGGTTACGGCTGCACCCCAAATGCAAAAATGCCGTCTGCGTCCAAGAGCGAAATCTGCCCCCTCTGCGGGCTGCTGGCACCTGGCTGTGCGTGGTTCTCAGGTGTTCCCTGCCCCCAGGGGCACGCTTACCTCTCTGTGTCTTGTGCCCTAAAGGACAGAAGGCCATGGGAGTCCTGGGCCAGAGGAGGCAGAAGGACAGGACAAGGGTGCCGGGACGCCGCCGCCCCAGATCCTCCTGCCACTGGAGGAGCGGGTGACCCACTTCCGAGACATGCTGCTGGAGCGAGGGGTAAGGACCCACGTGCAGGTGACGGCTGTCCCCGAAGCCAGTCACTGAGTAACTGTTCCCCGGGTTCATGGAGTCGGGCTGAGTGGCATTCAGGGGCCAAAGCACATGAAAAGGAGGCCCTGCTCCTTGTCCTGCCATGTGGGGCGTGTTGCCAGGCGGTCACCCCAGGGGCACACACGGGAGGGGCAGGCGGGAGGGGACGGTCAGCGGACTGCGTGCAGAAACGCCCTGTGGCGAGGAGCTTCCTGCTGGAGCCCGGCAGCTCTCAGGGTCCACACCTCGCTGAGGGGCGTCCCCGGGCCTCGCCTTCATCCAGCGACGGCCTCCGCACCTGGAGACCAGGGCGACTCGTTAATGGAATCAGGATGTCAGGATTAGAGTTGACTTCCGCATCTCAGTTCGAATTTTGGGGAAGAACATTTTAGGATCAAATCCCCTCCAGTGACACTGCTTTCCAGCTTTGGCTTTTGGGTATAGATGGGTCTGCTCTAACCGCCCGGCTGAATTTCTTCACAAAATGAGGCTGAACACAGGGGCCGTATGGGGAGCCCGCGTGCGGCGGCAATGATCGCGGACACGGCAGTGGCCTTGGGAACACAAGCAAATCCCCTCTGTGGTGAGCAGCCCCCCCCCCCCCGGACTGCCTCTGGGCGGGCCGATCCCAGCAGCAGGCGCCATGGGCGCTGAGGCCAGAGATCAGGACAGCGGCACTCCCCCCAGAGCCGGGGGTTGATCAGGGATCCCCGGAGTCGGGCTGGCGGGAGGCCCTGGGGGTGCAGGGAGACCGGATGGTCTCAGCTCTGGGGTATCACCCGTAGGATGGAGGTCGTCCCGCCACGGGGGAGCTCTCTTCCCATGCCCGCCAGTGTTAATACGCATGTCACTCCAGCTTGTTACTCAAAAATGAAATCCAGTCCTCGGCCATGAGGGACGGAAAGGGACCCAGAACTGCAAGGCAGCCTGCGAAGCCTAGATGAGCGTCGGTGCCCGGTGAGGCGGAGGTGCAGAAGGACCCCACGCGGGCCGGTCCGTATGCCCGATGATATGCTCATGGCCCCGGGCCAGGGCTGACCCTGGAGTGGGCCCAGGGAGCCCACGATGCGGGGGCTGGTCTGCAGAGCACCTGCCGTCCCCTTTTCCTGTTGCCACACTCACGTTGCCCCCAGCAGCACAGGCCAGGTCTGTGGCCTTGCCCTTGAGAAGCGATACGGCGTCTCTTCCTCCACAGAATCACCTGAAGAGGCCTCCTCTGTCCTGGAGAGCCACTGGCATGTTCGCTCCCAGGCTTTGCCTGGGCCCTCGGTAGGCGTTGATGGACACGCAGGTGGTCCTCTGCCCTTGTGTGCAGAAACACGTGTAATTCTGAGCGCTTGAATTGACCGGGCCGGTGTGTCCAGCGCAGTCAGCCGCGGGAGACACGATGGCTCTCGGAGCCTTTGCGAAGCAGAGCAGGCCTTCGCTTCACCCTCGGGACGCCGGCATTGCCCGTCTCTCCGCTTGGGAAACCAGCCAGCGCCCGCTCGCCAGCACAGCCTCAAACTAACCTCACGGGAGCTCAGGGCTGCCTGAGACGCCCACCTTTCCTCCCCGAGGCTGCCGGCGAGCCAGCTCACGAGACTGCTTGAACTCATCCCTGTGGCCTCGGTTCAGCAGTTTCCATGATGAGATTTCCAGCACGCTCTTGCCTCACTGCAATGGATGGTTCTCTTGGATTCTTCGACCTTCTCTGTGAGACTCTTACATGAATGAAAATCAGCAAAAACAACGCAGAAATATGCAACGCCGCCCAGGGTTCTGAGTCCCCCCGGGAAGCAGAGTCTGGGGGTGACAGCTGAGCCCCTATTTTTGGAGGATTTCAGAGGAAGCCCACACACAGTTCATGAATAGAAAAGATCAATTTGAATTTACTGCGGATGTCCTAAAGCAATGCGGCCATTTATGACTTTTTGACTTTATAAAATATGCCAGCAGATTTTATAAGTTATTCATGCTCAAGAGCATTTGATAGCTGAGCCCATAAGATTTCTAGTTGCTTAAAATTGAGGCACAGAAAGGTCACTTTTTTCATGGACTGAGTGATTAATAAGATTTTTTATTGCATTTGTTCAGTGCTCGCGTCCAGAAATCTGTGCACTCATGAGCGACAGAGCCGGCTCCCGTGGGCTCCCGGTCACAGAGGAAGGCCGTGGTTCGGGTGTTCTGTGGGGATGACGGACTGGGAAGGGGCTTTCAGGTCCGTGGTTTTGGAGGAACTATCTGATGGCTCAAGGAAGGTTTTATTTTTTTTTTTGTTTTTCTCTACGAACCACAATAGAGCCTTTTTTTTTTTTTTTAAACAAAAATGTCAGCCTGTGACGGAGCAGGCTTCATTGAACAGAAGATGATTCATGAGATCCAGCCTATTTCGATAAATGTATTAGGAACATTAGGAACATGTGATTGAGAACTTGTTCCTCTGCCTCGTGTCCCTCAGGAGCGGAGGTGGCTCTCCCAGGGCCGGGAGAGGAAGACTGTGGGAGAGCCCTGGATCTTGTTCTGGGGACTCTGAGCCCTGCACCTGCTGTCTGTCTGGGGTCCTTCTTTGGGGCACCCTTGGCCAGCTTCCCCAGAGTGGGTGGTCTGGTGGAGGCTGGCTCACCCTGTAGTTGTCTACACAGGTGAGCCTCCGGGAGGTTGGACCCGAGTCCATTAGAAAGAGGAACTCGCCAACAGGCATGCCCGCCGGACCATACCAGTCCCTCTCTGCACAAAGACGGTGTCCATCATGAGGCCGTTGGTAGAAAGAAACGGTATCAGGTGTCTTCCTGCCAGCAGGGCAGTGGAGGAGGGCTTCTCCCCACAGCTAGACGGCCACCCCTGTCCCTGACTTCTGAGGCCCTTCCCACAGACACGCAGGCGGCTTTGCCTCTCCAGAGCCATAGCAGGCACTTGGGCCCGGACATGCGCTGAAGGGTTCCATGGTCCTCCCGCGCCAGCAGCCCGTCATGCCCTGGAGGTGAGGCCAGCGCACCTGCCGTCTGCTCCAAGTGGTGACTCATGCTTCTCGGGGAGCTGAGCGGCCCCGTGTTCTATGGCAACTCTTCAGATCTCTCAGGCACGTGGGAGCCCACGGATAATAGGCAAGGGCGCTGGGCACGTCGTCTATACAGTGAAAGAGAATTGGCCAAAAAAAAAGTCTCCGTGGGAAAAAAAGTCACTCCAAATCCCATCCACAGAGAGAATTATTTTCATCAGTAAGGTCCATTTCTTTCCAGTCTTTCTAATAATAGACTTTAAGATGCCAATAATAAATATTTTTGTCTTATAGTATAAGGAGGACTGAATGTAATTGAATGTGGCTCGACCAGATACTTCGTTTAACACAGGCCTATGAGGCTCAGCTGACTTATAAATTTGGATGCTGTTTTCTCTTAGTATCAACCTTCAGAAAACATTTTGGATGAGATCGTGATATTCAATTCATTGTCCAAAAATCCTGCATTTTCATTCAGAGCTTGTGTTCTCCAAATTTGCCATTTTGAACAACACCCCGAGTGAGCTCGTTGGCGCATGAGCTCCGTGTGTGTAGGAGTGTTTCCTGCGGGCGTCAACGCTGGGCCGCTCTTACCAAATTGCTTGGAGGAAGGTCATTTTCATGCAGTGTGCTAGTCCAGCGGCCCGGTGTGAGCCCTGAGAGTGTGTTTTGTCCACACACCCCGCCTGATGAGGAAGAACTGTAAATATTTATCATTTTTGAACCACGTTGCTCCTTTCCTGGTGCTTCTGTGTCGTCTCGGCTCCGATGCCGTGGTTCTTCTTTCCCGAGCCGACTGCCATGGCCCGTGGCGAACCGGATCTTCGGATACGAGTTCTGTGGTGGTGAGATCGTGTTCTAATCACGGCGATGCCCTTGGGTAGGACCGTGGGCCACCCACTCTCATTGCCAGGATGGGATTCTGTCGATGACTGATGTGGAAACCACCCTCTAACGTAAATTAAATCAGCAGAGAATGCTGGTGGAGCGACAGCATGAAATCCCACGTATCTATCGCAACAGAAGAGGCTGAAGTTGGTAAAATCCCACGAGCGTCACCACGGAGGGTGAGCAAGGACCACCCCTCACTGTCCTCAGTGAGGACGGACTGGGGGGATGGGTCCTGAGCGCTGTTGAGGCCAGTGTGGGAGGGCGAGCCGGACCAGCTGGCTGGCAGAGCCCAACAGACTCTGAAACACGGGGCCCACGTCACTAGCCTCTGGTCCTGGATGCAGAGGTGGGTGCCTGAGGCCGACGGAGGTTGCTGAATCTTCTTCAGGGGCCACTGGGTCTCAGGCGTGGTTATCAAGCACCACGTCCACCCGTACCCACGACCTCAGTGCCCCTCAGAGCACTTGGACCTGCTCCCCACCTCCTTCTCTCCAGGGGAGGGAGGCCTGCTGTGGCCCTGGACAGAGGCATTAGTCAATGTCCCTGAGGTGAGGCCCTGGAGGTGGCCAAGTGTGGGACCCTGCCAGTGGCCAGGGCCCGAGGGCATGTCCCCAATGCCCAGCCCGGCCCCCTCCTCGGGCAGCGGCAAGCACAGGCTGCCACCCACCCCTGTGAGAGGCCTCATTCATCCATTCTTCTCATTTGGAGCGTCGTGGAAGGGAGCGTCATGTGGGCACGCACTCATGTCTCTGCGCGGAGATGGCCCGCAGGACCGTCCTGTGGCCCCTGGGTGGACGCAGCCTGAAGGCAAGAGCGTGCTGGCCACACTGTATAGCTGCGGTGCCCGCGTCCCCGAGGCCAGAGCTCCTGTCGCAGAGCTGCGAGCATGCTTGTGAGAGATTACTGCTGTCCGCGGGGCAGGGAGGCCTTGGAGACCAGACAGAGAAGCCACGTGATGGACAGTCCACGCTCGGGATTCCCTGGCACTGCTCATAATACAGAGCAAGGAGCACCGAAACACAGTGTGTCCAAGGGTAAAGTTTGGGCAAAAACCACAGCTTCTGAAGTACGTGCATTCATGTTTGAGCTGGAGATGAGCCCCCCAGAACCCCGAGGTCCCCCAGTGGCGTTCCTGAGCCCGGACCGCAGCCGCTGAGGGTGGGACCCTGGCAGAGCCAGTGGGAGGCAACGAGCACAGTGCTGACGACAGACAGGTGGACAGACAGACTTGGGCAGCTCTGCAGCCCTGCCTGGCTCGCCGGCAGCCCCGGTGCTCCCTGACTGTGCCCCAGGACACTGTGCTCTGCTCACTGGTAGGTAGGACCATCCCCTGCCGCCTTCCTCCCTTCCCTGGCCCCTCGGCCCCCGGCTCTTCCGTGAGCTGGGCTTTGACGGATGCTCAGAGTGGCCTTTGGCTTTGGAGATGAAAGCAGGGTCCACCTCTTCCTTCGGGGCATCCTGCCCATGGGGGTCTCAGGCTGTGATGACCTCCCTGAGCCCGCGCTCCTCTCACGTTCCGGCCAGAACCCGATAGGAGACCCTTTTCCTCAGTCTTCAGAGAGGCTTTGGGGAAGCTGGGGCTGTGGTCAGAACCAGTTTTATCTGGAGGTTTTTCTTCTCTGCACGAGACCATGGTCAGATTCAGCCCGCTCTGGCGGAGGGTCAGCCTCTCCTGTGCCCAGCGGGTAGGAGGACAGCCGCCGAGCACGGGGCACCCCCCGGGGGGCCCTGCCACCTGGGATGGGTGCTCAGGGGAGCTCAGAGCTCAGCCAGTCAGGGCTCCCCCCACTAAAGCGGGGAGGGCGGCTGGGAGGCCACAGGGGTCTGGTGACCGGCCGGCCAGTCTGGGGGCTCAGGAAATGGAGCACTTGGGAAGGCAGGGCCATGGAGCCGAGCGGTGACACGGCCAGTCAGTGCCCTTGATGCTGCCAGGTGGGCGGGGATGCCCCAGGCTGGACGAAATGAAGGAGGTGCCCGAGTGCCGGGGAGAGGCTGGCGGCACAGCCCCAGGATAGCGTCCCGGGAGCACTCTAGGCGGCCAGCCCCCCAGAGCTGCTGAGTCTCCCGGTGGCCGGCTCGCGAGGTGCTCAGACGAGTCCGTGATCGCGGGTGACAGGAGCTGATCTTGGGCTCACGGAGCCAGCCCCGCAGGGGAGACAGACCGGGCACAGGACCCAGCTTGTCTCAGAGGAGCCACGGCACTCTGCAGGAAACGGCGTGAATTTGGCTGAGGAATTCCACCTTTCAAGGACACGAGCACATGGGAGCCTCGGAGTCCCAGACGAGCCGGCGAGATGAAGAGAGAGGTAGATGCGTGCTTAGTCCTGGGACCTGGCGAGGGGCGAGGTCCTCAGGCAGCCCCAAGATGCCCACCCCCAGGGTGCACCCCAGGATCATCTCCTCCCTTGAGAAGGGGTAGGTCAGTGAATAGGATGGTGGGGTTTGGGACGGAACATTCCCTAAGACTCAGAGATCCATGTAGACTCTCCTGCCAGCTGTGGGGAAGTCAGCCACACTGGCATGGAGGGGCTGTGGCAGGGAGCACTGGTGGCCATGAGGCTGAAGAGGGCTCCTGATGGCTCAGCAGGAGACGGGCAGCCTCCAGCCCTGCCCTGTGGGGTGAGCTTCCCAACCAAGACATGACCCTGGGGACACGGGAGGCCCAGGTCCAGGGAGTCAGGCTTCCCTCAGAAGCGATTCTCACGGTCCATCCCACCTGCGGTTATCAGGAGCGAGTCCTCTGGGAACAGCTGGGCCTCACGGACGAAGCGCAAGGGGGCCCCCGTCACACGCATGGCTGTCCACCCTCCCCTTCTGCTGTGATGCCCAGCCCTGGGCCCCCTGCCTGGCTGCGCCTCTGTCCACCGCAGCCACAGTTCCCCGAACTTGAGTGGCACCTGCTGGCCTGGCCCCCAGAGGGTAGGACAATACCTGTTCTGTCATTATACATGACAGTCCCTGCTGAGACGGCTTCTCCCGCCTCGCGCGCAGATGGGATTTCCTTTGGAGGCAACCATATATTATTAATTTTTAAAGAGTGATCGTATCACACGTCCAGAACTGCAAAACCCTCCAAACACCTGTCCTCAGCCATGCTCTGCCTTCCCTAGCGAGCAGAGATGGGGGTGTCTGCTGGGGCCCTCCGGGGTGGTTGGGAGCCTGTCTGTGTGGGCTGAGTTGCGCTGCCCACGACGTCTCTCGGCAAGTGCCCCGGCGCTGCTGTGGTCAGGGACAGAGAACCGTGGGGTCGGTCTGTCTGGACACTTCCCCAGGGAACCCCCTGTCCCTGCGGCTGGTCCACATTTCATCATGTTCTCAGTCCTTGGGAGAAAGTCTCTGCAGGGAGACTGGGTCGTCCTGCCCAGGAATGCAGTTCATGAATATTAAAAAGGGGCTTTTATTTTTATTAGAAAAGATAGAAAGTGTCCATTAAAAAAAAAAAAAAACCCACATGTTAGGCTGGACAACTAAAGCACATTAGGACAGTGTCTCTACCAGGAATGCCATGACGTGTCCAAAGGCAAGAGGGAGAAAGGGCGGTGAGCGGCCCGTTAGCCCCCGTCTCCCCTACGCCCCACCCAGTCCCAGAGGAGCCCTTCCTGAAATGCACGTGACCTGTGGCCGTGGCCCCGAGGGAACAGGCTCAGCTTCCTCAGCCTGCCTGGGACGCTGCCACCGCTTCCGGCTCCTCCTGGGCTCCTGCACCCCCAACTGCGCTGCCCCCTGCAGCCCCGACGTCCCTTCAGCTCACGAACGTGGTCGTGGCACCCAGGCAGCCCTTCTCAGACCCATCCCATCCCTTCAGGACCCTGACGAGTGTCCGTGTTCCAGAAGAGTCCACGCTCTGGACTCTCATCCCGGAGCTGGTGGAGGCTCCCCTTGGCGCCCGGGCACGTCTCCGCCACAGGTGCCTCCCGGGAGGCCGTGAGCTTCCTTAACTGCCTGAGCCCAGACCACGCGCTTTCCGGTGTCAGGGACCTTCACTTCCTCTGGGTCCTCAGCACGCAGCGCGGGGCCTACGGCAGAGTCAATGTTTACTCAATGTTTTCAAGCGAGCGCACTATCGTGTGAGTGACTTAAACATTTCCGTGCTCTGTCAGTGGGGAGAAGCCGGAAGCTGCACGTCCCCCAGCCCCCGGCACACTCGGCTGTCTCAGTCCTTCAACGGGGGGACCGGGATTCCCGCAGAATTGTCTGATTCTGGGGCTGAGGCGGGAGAGATGCCTCGAAGTTCCAGGAAATAAGGAGGTGCCCGACCCCCCACAATGACAGTGTAGCCAAAGGCACACAGCAGCCCCCTGGCCAAGCCCTCCATGGCCAAAGCTGGAGCGGCTCGAGCACAAGCAGGAAGTCACATCGGGTCATCGCCCAGATTGCGGAATAAACAGCCACGAGTCTGTGGGCAGGTCCGTGAGGGAATAAAGAAGTCGACGTGGGAAATGGGTGACCGTCCCATCCAGAATTCCAAGTGACCGGTGTCTGGATCCCCCTGACCCCCAGAGTGGAGCGTGGCCCTGAGCGTGGGCTGTACAGAGTGGCTCCCCAGCAGCCGAGCACGGAAGGGGGACTGAGAGTGGATGTTCGGAGGACAGATCCGGGGACGGCAACCCCGGCCGGCTGTAAGTCACTGCGACAGTGAGAACCACGAGGGCATGTGCTGACCGCAGTGCCTGGCTCTGGGCTCCTCCCCCGGGACCCAGAACCCCGTCTTGTCATGAGCCAAGCTGAGATCAGTCGGCGGAGGGGCGTCCACGGCGTGACCAGCACCCACCAAAGCCATTACGGTCAAAACAGCAGGAAAAGTCTAGAAATGCCCACAGCCCAGAGGGGCCTTGGGAGATGCGACACTACTGTCACGTGATGTCTGGGTGGGACCCTCGCGCGAAGAGGAAGCACACGTGAAAACTTAAGAAGTTGCACGTGAGGACCTTGGGTAGCAATAGTGTAGACAGACCTGGGGTCCATACCTGTGCGAGGTGTTAACAGTGTGGGAAACCAGGTAAGACGTGTCGGCTTGTAATGTTCTAATGTTCTTTCAACTTCTCTGTAAATCTAAAACCACCGTAAAATAAGATAGTTTGTTTAAAAAAATGACCTTCCTGAAAATGTTTAAATATTGTTTAGAAAATCAGCTAAAACTACACTAAACTCAGAGTATTTGCAAGAAGTTGTCCCCGTCATGGCCATGGTGTGCTGACGGTTCTCACAAACGTTTCAGCCAAGACTTGACATCCCAGAAAGCCCCGGTTCCCTGGGTGTAACCGGGGCTTCCATTCAGAGGCAGGTGACCCTGGAAGAAACCCGAGGAAGACAGTGTCGCGAGTGTCGCGAGTGTCGCGAATGTCGTGACTGTCGCGAGTGTGGGAATCAAACCTTCCAATGCTCCAAGCATCGATTTCCTAGAGAGCTGGGCGCGCTGCTGAGCCTGGGGTCCCTTAATGCTGTTCCCACCAGTGAACATTTCAGCCCTATTTTTGGCTCAGCCTTGGACGCTGAAAGTGACTCTATTGAATATCTTTCTTCAGGTGTCAGCGTTCTCTACCTGGGAGAAAGAATTACATAAAATCGTGTTTGATCCACGCTACCTCCTGCTAAACTCGGAGGAGCGGAAGCAGGTAAGGTGGGGGCGAGACGTGGTGGTGGGTTCCGGACGCGCACACCTGCACGGCCCCCCGTCCCCGCCAGGGAATGCTTGCCTGTCGTGTCGTGTTGTGTCGTGTCGTGTCGTGTCGTGTCGTGTGGTCAGAGGGGAGGGAGGGTTGCAGACGGAGTGTACTCGCTTGTGAGCTGGTGGGCGGGAACGGTGACCGGGCCGGGGAAGGTGACCCCTCCCTAAGCAGACCATCGGGGGTGACCCCACAAGGAAGACCCTCCCACTCGAGGATGGGGCTGCCTGTGCTGGGAACACTGACCACACCCCAGAAGAGTGTGTTAGGGAGACTTACGGTCGTATCTGATAACAAGGAAGGAGAAGACGGCCCAGCGAAGGGAGGAACAGGGGGAGGGAGGTTCTAGAACGCGGGTCCCCAGAAAGCTCAGGAACGCGTCAGAGGACAGTTTCACCTGACGAGTCTGCCCTGGCTTTTTATTTATTTATTTATTTATTTATTTGAGAGAGAGAGAGAGACAGTGAGAGAGAGCATGAGCGAGGAGGTCAGAGGGAGAAGCAGACTCCCCGTGGAGCTGGGAGCCCGATGCGGGGCTCGATCCCGGGACTCCAGGATCATGACCTGAGCTGAAGGCAGTCGCTCAACCAACTGAGCCGCCCAGGCGCCCCTGCCCTGGCTTGTTGACAAAGAAGGTCACGGAGCCAGTACTGCTTCCCAGACGAGGCAGACGGACAGAGGGACGGCTGTGCTGACCACCAGGGGAGGGGCTGAAGCCATGACGTGCGGGCCTGCACAGCTCAGCCAGGGTCTGGCGGGGGAGAGGGTCTCCCCGGAGCCCGGCCAGAAGGGTCCTGGCATCAGATCCAGAAGATCTGGATGTCCTTGTCTCTGGTTCCCGAGGGAATCCTGTCTCTCCCTCCTGCACACGGAGAGTGGGTCTTCAAGAACAGCCCCTGAAAACAGAGGGGCCTGAGAGTTAATTTCAGCGGGGGGCTGGGTCACCACGGTCTGTATGGGGTCAGGAAGGCCCGGGGACAGGGGCACAGAAAGGGCTCTTTTATCTTCCTTTCTGTCGTGGCGTAAAGTTCCTTCAAGCCCGTGCTGGGATGACCAGGGAAGCGACCGGACAGCCAGGCAGAGCCTCAGGACTGCGGACCCTGATGGTCCCAGAGACGGCAGAGCCCCCTGCCACCCCCACCCCCAGTGCAAGCTGGTGCTTGGGATGGCCCTAGACTGGCCGCTTTAGAATACAGACCTTGGACCTTTCACGACCTTAGAATTAATGGTCCTTGCACTGCATTCCCCGTGAGCTGTATTTTCCAGAAAGAAACATTTAAAAATGTAGAAAATGTGCTAGCAGTGGCTCCAAAGAAAGAAAGAAAGAAAAGAGTCACAACAGAGCCCGACGAGGTTAGATTACACACGTAGAATCCAAGAAAACTGCGGACGGCAATCACCGATTCGGTCTCACCCTTCTGTTGTATATTAAGGACCAAAAGTCTGACAACTCGACCCTGAAAACACAGAAGAAGCTTGTTTCTCTGCTGCGGTGAGGAGCGCGCTGGCTCGCATCTGCCGACCGTCGGCACATCTGTAGGCAGTCAGGACGGTCCTCTCCAGTTCACAGGGGGTGTTTGGAAGGCATTAACCCTTCGGGGGAGGCTGAGGAAGTGAGGCTACCCACCCTCAGAGAAACAGCCCGTTTACGGTTTCAGGCTTTCTTCCGCCTCTGAGCGAGTGGGACGTAAGGGGCACAGGTGGCTGTGGCATTGAGCGGTTCCCCCGACCCGGGGCGCGGGGAGCCCATGGAGCTGTCCTTCCAGCCATGGCCAGAGCAGCAGGTGCCGGGCAGGTGGGCTGAGCCTCCTGGGGGCCGGGACCCCGGGCCCAGACGTGGATGTGCACTGGAGACCGGTCGGACTGGAATGTCGGCTCACACCAAGTACTCCCTCGGACCCCTGGGAAGCCCCAGGACCCTGCAGGCCTGTGTCGCTAGCCTATAGGAGGCCTGATGAGGAACAGCAGGAAGCTGCCTTGTGAGCCGCCCAGGCCGGCAGTGCCAGAGAGCTCCCCTGGGGAAGGAAGCAGTATTGGGACCATCTGAACACCCAATCCTACCTACAAAGGCGTGGGTGCGTTTTTCTGGGGGAGCCGAAGCTCCTGGTGGCCCGTCGCCCCCTCGCCGCCACCAGGGCCTATGGGGGAGAAGTGACTGAGCCCAGATTAGGGGTCGGACGGCACCTCTCAGACCCATTTCCATGGTAACAGAGAACGTTTCCTTTTTATTACCATAGATCGTGCCATAAGGAGGTAAGGGCGAGCGGGGCCTCTTTTAAAAAGTCCTGCCCCGCTTTGAATGAAAGTAGCATCATGGGTCGAAGAGGGAAGGAGACCCACGTGTTGGCTTAGAGCAGCCTCAGCGGAGCAGCAGCCCCATGGGGAGGAGAGAAATCGGGTTCGCTGGGCTGGTGGTTCCAGCACCAGAGAAGCGGGGTCCCTGCAGCCTCCGACCCCGCAGCAGGGCAGGGTTTCTTCTGTCCAGATTCAAAACGAATGGAGAGAAACTCTGACTCGCAACAGAGTCCCATGCTTCTGTGTGGGTGATGAGCCTGCCTTCGCCTTTTCTAGGAACCTAAATCCTAAGAGAGCTGCAGCGCTAGGACACCACAGGCCTTGCTGGTGCGAGGAGCGGACCCTGCTCTTACTTTGATGTACAGGCCCGCCCTTTCGGTTTCCGTCCCGCTCCTGGCGCCTCCCGTTGAGGCTGACTCGCCCGGAGGAGAGCGGCTTCCGTTTTCCCAACCTCGTCAGGCTGGTGGTTACCGAGAGAACCGGAGAACGCCCCTGCCGTGGCCATGGGGCGCGTGCCCCCTCCCGCTCTGGGGAGCCCGCGGGTCAGACTCACGCCTGCCATGGCCAGGGACCGGGCTGGCTCAGGAGTGCTGTGTATTGACTTTCCGTGATCACACGTGCGATCTTCACGATCTTTTTATTTATGTTTCACACACGTTGGAATTATCTCCAGTGCTTTCTCTTAAGCTCTCAGGGCTCCAACAGCACGAGCCTCCTCTCGGCTCTGAAGCATAAATGACGACTTGCCACTGTCGGAGCGACGAGCCACCCGGCCCTGGCGAGGGAGGATCCTCCAGGGGCGGCTGCAGACAGGCTCCAGGGCATCGTGCGGTTGTGCTGGCGGCTGGCGGTTTGCACGAGCTACAGCCCCAGAGTCACGGGGGCACCTGCCTGCCAGACCACACCCATCCATTTAGGCTAGGGAATGTGGTTTTCCCTTTGGCTTAGCTTGTAAAACCCACCTCTTGTCAGCCGGGGCTAGTGTGGCGGCTGAGCATCTGGCCTGCACTCAGGGGGCTTTGCCTAGAGGCTCCTTGACATGCCCAGGAGAGGCCTCCCGTGTCCGCATGCGCCCCCGATGACTAGACCCCCACGTTCACAGGCGGTCTTCTTGGGGACTGGCAGGTGGGGAACCAGAGATGCCAGGTTGACTCTCCTTTCACGAAGGTAAAATCGTATTTGGAGACCCAAATACCAATTATGTTCTTGAGGAATCGACTAGGACAGATGACACAATCTCACGTGTTACTGAGACTACCAGCGGCGATGTGACCGTCAGCCAGACGGTGTGTGACCGGACGAGCTACTCACAGCCTTCCCAGACCAGAACCACGGGGGTAGCGGGGCCGGGCGTCTGGGACCCTCAGTAGCTCCCGTCGCCTCCAGACAGGGCTGCGCCGCCCATCCCGCACCTCCCCGGGCAGGGCCGATTTGGGGTTTGGCCCCGAGACGGCGCCTCGTGGGGACCCAGGTTTCATCAGGCAGACACTTGTCTCGTGACGCTGAGAGCGCCTCCCCGAAGGGCTCCGGCCTCAGCCCCAGCCGCTACGGAGAAGAAGGGCCGAACCACATACCCTCTCGCCGTACTTTCGTGCTGTGTTTGAAACCCAGGTTTCCTTTCTGATGCACAGCCTCGTAACACCTTTCTTGTGTGTGTATTTTAAGATATTCGAACAGTTCGTCAAGACAAGGATAAAAGAAGAATACAAGGAGAAGAAAAGCAAACTGCTGCTCGCCAAAGAAGAATTCAAAAAGCTTCTGGAGGAGTCTAAGGTGTCACCCAGGTACGGAGATGAAACAGACGCTGGGCGTCCCCAAGGCTGGACGTTTGCCCGTGACTGCAAGACAGCTCTCACGGTCTGTGTCTGTTAAACCGCACACCCCAGCGGGCCCCAGACACCATGAGTGTGATGGCGGCGACCCCTGGGGAGGGAAGCCCACCTCCTCCCTGCCGAGGGGGAGTGAGCCTTCCAGTGACCAACCGCGATCCCTGCCCCTCGCCCCCCACCTGCGCCGCGGTCCCTCCGTTCCACTGCCCAGATGCCTGGTTTTCCAGCCTGGTATCCCTGACCCCACGGTCTAAATGATCAGCAGGTCAGCACTTGGGGGGGGGTCTTACTTCAGATCTAGGGATCAGAGACTGAACACACAGGCCACAGATAGCAGCAGGAACACGAACCCCCCCAACCCCACTGGATCCAGATGCCTTCCAGGTCGGCTGGGGTACAGACAGGAGGTGCACTCGCCGGAGTAAATGGGCCTGGTAACATTGTTGCCAAAACGCACCTCCAATAACGGACATCACTCTCACGAAATAGAACAAGCCCACAGGGGGCTGACGTCAGAAATTAGAAAAGTACGTGGATTTCACTGTTCTTAAAAATTAGCTCCCGTTGACTGATATTTAAAAAGTAATGAATGTATACTACTTCTGAAATTACAGAACTATCACTTTTATAAGCAAAAAGTGATTGTGGTTTATTTTCATTTGGGGTTAGGACATTATGTCTAAGTGGACATATATGTGTTAGTATTTTATAATAATCCCTTAGTACAGCATCGTTTTTAAATAGATGTTAACTGACATTGCTTTCTATGAAGACCTGAGGTCCCGTATGTGCTGGGAGATTGTCCAGTTCTCCAGGTCGGTAACTGGACGTTGGGTTCTGACAAAACTGCAGGAGTTTAAAGAGCAGATATTTTCTGAACGGGAGAAAATGTAGCATGAATGATCCCCATCACAAAATGCTAATCTAGAAAAGCAACTGTTCATCTAGACATTCGTAATTGTGCTTTTCTACCATTAGAGATGAGAACACCGGCTTTTCTGTGTCCCCCACATGGTGACCCTAGGAGAGAGGAGATGATCTGGGGCCCCTGCCTCGGGGCACAGCCTGCTCAGGCCCTCCTCAGTGCGGCAGTGGGTGAGGCGTCACACGTTTCTGAGCTTCTGGTCTCAGGTCTCATCTGCAGGCAACACAGCTCCAGGAGGCTCCCTGCAGGGTGCAGGCAGGGTAGCAAACTGCTACCTGGAAGAAGCTTGGTGAAAGGGAGCCCATCATCACCATCATCACCACCACCAACACCACCACCATCATCACCATCATCACCACCACCAACACCACCACCATCATCACCACCACCATCATCACCACCATCACCTCCACCATCAGCATCACCACCACATCATCACCACCACCAACACCACCACCAACACC